AAATCTCTCATGCCAAAGTACTACCAGAATCAAGAATATAAGAGCATACTTTTTCGGGCTAATACCACTAGGAAACCCGAACTATTAACTTTTTGTCATTAGTGTCCTAAAGTTTTCGATATGACAATTGTGTCCTAAACTATTTCTCCGTTAGAGTTGACCGGCGTTGACCGTTAGTTTTTAACAGAAAACCCAGTAAGCGCTGATGTGGAATCTGATGTGGAATTTATAATATTAATTTACAATTATTTCTCATATAAAAAAAATAAAATTACAAATTATAAAAATAAAAAACAAAAACAGATTTGATTTGATTTGCGGTTGGCAATCCCTTCCTCTTCTCCTTCTTCTTCCTCTTCCTTCTTAAGGATTGAAAAACCCAGGTGAACAGAAAACCCCTTCCGAAACCAAACAAAACAAAAATCACGCCTCGCAATCCCTAACTCTGCAGAGGTCAGCTCGTCGGGCGACGCAATTTCCGATGGCGATGTTGTATCTGCGGCGTGCATCCGAGTTGCGTCCCTCACCTGCTGCCGACTCATCCCTTCCCCGTTCAAGGCCTTCCCCTGCTTCAGAGCTTCCACGACTACTCCCGCCGCGAATCCCATTCGCTTCGCCGACCATATGTTGTCCAGCGTCGCGATTACGGAGCTGAACTTCCTGCATCGATTTTGTGCCTTCCTCGCCAACATCGATGGATTCCTAATCAGAACCCTCAACGACGACGGAGTCGAGTTAACGCGTTGGGGATCGATTCGTCTTCTTCTTGATTTCAGATTCGTCTTCTTCCGACGCCGGCATCTGGTCGCCGCCGCCGTCCCCTGCTTTTTCTTCGAGATCTAGGGATTTCGTCAAACTGGTCCATATCAAAGCGCTCGCCACCGCAAATGCCGCCGCCGCCGAAAGCTGTTTGCCCTCTTCAAGATTGTCCCGATTCACCATCGCTTTCAGCCTGGATATATCTTCCCTGTTAATGACGAAAGTCGTACGAATCTTATCTGAATGTTTATATCGGCAGTGGAGAAGCTGAAGAGCAGAGGGAGTAGGATGCGGTGGTGGGGAGTTTTCCTTTACTTGTTTTTTATTTTAATTTTTAGAAATAATATCAATTAATTGAGTTTACATTTTTTTAATTTTTATAACAATATATATATTTTTTAATTTTTATTTAAAAATATGAGGTGTCATTGACGTGGATGCCACGTAATCAAAAGTCAATGTTAATGTTGACTTCCGTTTGGTCAACCGTTATCTATAACGGTCAACGAAATCGTCATGACATAAATAACACACAACTATCATACATTGTGACACAATTGTCATATCGAATACTTTAGGACACAAATGGCACAAAGTTAATAGTTCGGGTTTCCCAATGGTATTAGCCCTACTTTTCCCCATGCATGCCACTCACTATGATCCATAAGAATACGTTGTATGCATGATTCGCATCTTGCTTCCAATTATATATGTTACTATATCCAAAACCAGAAGCAAAAGATACTACTGTGTCTATACATGTAAATACATTGATATATATAATTTATTCTCATACTTGAGTTAGAAATGAATAGAGTGTTATTACTCAGTGGCGGAGTTAGGATTCGAAAGTATCCGTATCCTCTTTTCAAAATATAAAAAATATTAAATATAATTAGAAAAAATAATATCCAAATATATCGTTCATATATAATAACGAAATAGCCAATCAATACAATTATTATTTTCATAAACAACCACGATACATTTTCATATTCTAAGTTAAATTAAGTTTATGGGGTGAATTACACAATTGGTCACCCAAATTACATAAAAATTTCACATTTGCCACTCGAATTACAAACCTTGCTTATTGGTCATTAACTTTACGAAACATTTCACCGTAGTCACTGGCCGTTAGCCTCTGTCAGACTCCGTTAACGGCGTCAGATTTTTTATGACGTGGCAAACGGAAACTCTGACTGGGTGGACAAAAAGGTTGAGTCAGCCCAGATACCCGACCCACCAAGGCAGCCGACGCGGAAAAGGACGAAGCCCACTATATTTTAGTTTGATTTAATTTTTTCTTTTTACTTTTGGGAAAAGACCGATTCCCCTTCTTCTTTCCTCTGGTCGCGCGATTCTTCTTCCTCCCTTTCTTCACTCCAGCAGAGCCTGCAAGGATAGCCGGCCGGTCAATCGAGTGCAGGGGAGGTGCGGGTGACCAAAAAAACCCAATCTTCCTTCTTCAGCGCCGATGAGCTCAAGATTTTGACCTAGCGGCTTTCGAATTCGCAATCGGTGTCATCGGATTCCTTGGAGAAAGCTATCGTCTGATCCGGGCGACGGGTCTGACCGGTCGTGGCGGCACTTCCGGTGCCCTAGCCGTTGCCTTTGCCTCATCGTCATTTCCACAGGAGGCAGTAGTCTGCGGGTTCTAATTTGGGGCAGGGTCGTCCCCTCGGGTCGCCCGACATAATCCCGTTCTCTTCCTCCTGGTAAGGCTCCGACACCGACTCCGTTTTCATCTTTCATTTTATCATTTCCCTGTAATTTTAATTTTAGGTTTAACTATTTTTCCTTATTATTGTTCACTTCTCTGTGGAGAATGAACCGAACCAGACTTGAAGGAAAGGCAGATTTTCAGATTCTTGGGTAGATCCTTTCGTCGGTTGCTGAGAGATTTCAATGGCAGTTCTGTGGAGAGCCGAGAAGGGAAAAGATTTACGAAACAGCTTGTGGATGAGCTCCTCGGCAACAAGATGATCTCTTGGCAATGGATCAATGAACTAAGAAATTCTTACTTCCTTGAAGAGGAGCTCTTCTCTCAAAAGTAAAAGAAAAAATTAAAGCAACTAAAAAATAGTGGGCTCTCTCCTTTTTTGGGTCGGGTGCCTTGATGGCTCGGGTTTTTAGGTTGACTCAGCTTTTCTGTCAGCCCAATCAGAGTTTCCGTTTGCCACGTCATCAAAAATATGATGTCGTTAACGAAGCCTGACGGAGTCTAACGACCAGTGGCTACGGTGAAATGTTTCGTAAAGTTAGTGACCAATAAGCAAGGTTTGTAATTCGAGTGGCAAATGTGAAATTTTTATATAATTCGGGTGACCAATCAAGTAATTAACCCTAAGTTTATGTATGCCTTTAAACAAGAAATGTCTTGTAATTTAGTGGTATAACACTCTTATATTACCTAGATATCATGAATTCAATACTTAATTTATACATATATGTCATATTTTTTTTATCCTAGAAATTACCTGTGTCCGGGACACATCCGAGTACCCTTGGGTTTTTTTTTTTTGGCAAAAGATAGCTTGTATTACCAAGAAGCAAAGATCACAAACGATTACAACTCCGATCGGAGCCAAGCGCAAAAATCAAACCCCCCGAGACAAGTAGGATACAAAGAAAGGGCCTTCCTAGCCACTCTATGGGCTACCCTATTGTGATCCCTACCTACGAATCGGAGAACATCCCCTTCCACCGCATCCAACACATCCTGGACTTCCCGCAACACCGCTCCTCCATAACAATCCCCCGTACTGCCGGCTATCACCTTGTCTATAACCACCTTCGCGGCACCCTGGTAACAGACCCCGTACACCCCCATCGATCGGCACCATAAGATTGCCTCCCGAAGCGCCAGCAGCTCGACCACCATGGGGTCCGTAACCCCCTCCCATCCCCTTCCCAACGCAGCAACCACCCCCCCCATCCAGCCCTTGCAAGACAATCCCTACTGCCGAATGCGATGCCTGCCGCACTGCCCCATCAAATGAGCATACCCAAGCCACCCCCTGCTGTGTTACCAATTTCTATGGAATGTCAAAATGCTTCTTTGCTTCCCGGGAGTAATCAGTAGAAGCAAATTTGGACCATTAGCCATGACATCTTTGCTTCCTTTATTTCCAGAAATTGAATGACCACCATCGTGAATTCGTGATGGACCATTTCAGAAAACCAAATAGTAGACGTAAGCAATAAAATTATAAATTCCTTCATCAATTCCTTGTTCATGATCACGGATTGGATCAAGCTGAAGTGACTGAAAAAATTTGATGAACTCCCATTCTATATATCTCAATTTTATTCAACAAGAATTCCACTTCCACATGCTGCTCTAGATTCTCTCCCTCCAATTATGAACTCTACATTCAATCAACAGTGTGAAATTCTTCTGTTCCAAATCTTCAATGAACTTCTGTAAGATGAAGATCTCGACCTGCTTTATTAAGTTCCTCTTCAAATTGTTTCTTCCTCAGCTGACTTTGTTCTTGCAATATATGCAACGCTCTATTGATTTAAAGAAATATGGGTACCCGCGGGTACCCGTTATTCCTCCCCGTACAGATAATGGGTACCCATTAACCCGTACGAGTTTAGGACATGTGATGAAATTTTCTCTTCAAATGAGATTGGATATTCGTTGCGACGTTGCCTACCTCTAACAAAAACTTCGTCCAAAAATGTCATTACTCATTCATTAGAGTAATCTCATTCATCAAATTTTTTTTAAAGAAGATACTACTCATTCATCAATTTAAAAAAGAAAGAAAGTAGATACTACTCATTCATCCATTTAAAAAAAACGTTGGGTCGTTTGAATGGATCAATCTAGAAATGAGTCAATTTGATAAATTGTCTCGTTTTATAAACGAGGCAATTAAAACGAGTCAATTCGAATTACCTGCCCCCACCCCAGGTAATTGAAATTTACTTAAAACAGATCAATTCAAAATATCTCATGCAGATTGATCCATCCAAATTTTTTGTTGGCAAACGAGACAATTTAGTACAATTGTGTCCAAAACGAGACAATTGTGTCAAATTAATCCGTTACAATTCCTCATCCAAACGACGAACTAGTATCTAGAAGGATTTTCCAAGATTGTCACCCTAACCCATCCCAAATCAGGGTCCAAGCTAGTAACATATATAAATCCTTGTTTGATGTTTCACCTGTTTAACTCCTCAAACCGATTTGACAAGCCAAAAGAAAAAGAAGAGAAGCAATTTCCCGTTGATCTGCGCAGAAACAGTACAGAAAAATACCACTTCTTTCCCACTTCCACAGTCGGCCTAATCAATCGGAAAATAGCAACTCCAAGAATATCCAGCACTCGGCGGCGGCGGCGATGATGACGGAAGGGCTGTTCCACCGTCAGAATCAGTCTCAGAGGATGGCATTCGCTGGCGTTTTTGCCATTCTCCTCCCAATTTTCTTCCCTCATCTCTTCCGTCCTCTCGGCAGAGCCTCGCCGTCTCTCTTCTCTGTAATCCCTTTTTTCTTCGATCCATCCCTCCTACTTCATTTTCCCTATTCAAATCTCATTTTTCGCTTTTCATTTGTCGCATTCCCTGGTTTCCGATTTCACTGTTTTTCTTTGCCGCCATGCAGGAATGGATTGCTCCGAGACCAAGGCACTTGCCTCTGTTGAAAGCTGCTCTGACTCGTCACATTGTAAGTAGGTGCCCGTTCTTCGCATCCTCTGTATTTAGCATTCTTCGCTCGGTTTTCTATCAATTTTGGTGAAAGTAGTTGGCTTTTGATATCGTAGCCCGTCAGACAACAGTCTGGGCTTTGGGCTCCTTTGCCTGACCAAGGATGGAAGGCTTGTAATGAACCAACTATTGTCTCTTGTAAGTGATCAATCTTCGGAAGCCAAGCATTGTTGTGCGCTTATTTCATATGGGTGGTGGTCGATAGACTTTGCTCTTGTTATAACATACAATATGGTTCTTTGAAGCATTACCTGCAAAATCACAAGGGTATATACAAGTCTTCCTAGATGGAGGGTTAAACCAGCAAAGAATGGGAGTAAGTAGCTGAGAAACACAAAAAAATGATTCAGTTCCAACGTTTGAATTTGGTGCAGTTTTTCTTGGCCTCATTCCCCTCTTCATGATTCTTCTTGCTGTGTGTCTTTAAGTTATGTGATGCAGTCGCAGTTGCTAAGATACTCAACGCAACACTTGTTGTTCCGCATCTTGATTTGAACCCTGTTTGGCAAGATTCAAGGTACTTTCATTAGTTGAAACCTCCATTTGGATGTTGTCTATCAGTTGGGATTTTTTGAACCTATTGAGAAGGAAAAGTTTTGCTTTGGTTGCAGTTCATTCAGCGACATATTTGATGTGGATCATTTTATCAATGTTCTGAGTAATGAAGTCAAGATAGTTAAAGAGCCACCCAATGAGTATTCTTGGAGCACTAGAGAGTACTATGCGACAGGTATACGGCCTACCCGAATCAAAACAGCTCCTGTCCATGCTTCTGCTCAGTGGTATCAAGATAATGTCTTGCCTGTACTTCAGAGGTGGGTGGGTATCCCCTATGGTTTAGTTTCTGGAAACCGTCATTGAACATATCTTATGAAGCATATCTATTTGTCAAAGCAGATTGATCATTTTACTCAAGAGATTCATTTTTATATATACATCTTTTTGGTTGGCAGCTATGGAATAGTGGCCATTGCGCCCTTTTCTCATCGGTTGGCCTTTGATCAGCTACCTATAGACCTCCAGCGCCTGAGATGTAAAGTGAACTTTGAAGCACTAGCATTTGTTCGTGATGTCAAAGTGTTAGGTGAGTTGATTGTTAATCGTCTACGCAAGACCAAACACCAAGTCTTGGGATCTGAGTTGAGGGTAAACAATGATGGTTCTGGAAATGATGGCTCTGGAAAATATGTAGTATTACATCTTCGATTTGATAAGGTAAAGTTTTCCAGCCCCTCTCCAATGTTTGACTCCTTGGTTGGTTGGTTAGCTTTGATGAGTTCAATTCTGGAGTTTGTGGTGGTAGTTTTTAGGAACACTGGAACTATCTCTGTTCAATTTGGGTTCTCTCTTGGTAATTGATCTCTTAGATTTCTCTTACACATGCAGGATATGGCTGCTCACTCAGACTGTGACTTCGGTGGAGGTAAAGCTGAAAAGCTTGCTCTGGCGAAGTACCGGCAAGTGCTGTGGCAGGGAAGAGTGTTGAACTCTCAGTTCACAGATGATGAGTTAAGGAGCCAAGGGCGTTGTCCATTGACACCTGAAGAGATTGGACTACTGCTATCAGCTTTAGGCTTCAGCAATAGCACTCGCCTCTATCTCGCATCCCACAAGGTTTTTCTAGAAATCTTCTCATGCAGAACACTTGAGTAACTGTGTCGCTCTTAAAATGATCTTTTTTTCTTCTTTCAAGGTCTATGGCGGAGAAGCAAGGATTGCTACTTTGAAGCAGTTATTCCCTTTAATGGAAGATAAGAAGACTCTTGCTTCGTCAGAGGAACTGGCTAAGGTTGAAGGGAGAGCTTCACTATTAGCCGCAGTTGATTATTATGTCAGCTTGAAGAGCGACATATTCATATCTGCTTCACCTGGAAACATGCACAACGCATTGGTACTGCTGCTGGTTCTTCTTATACTAGAAATTAACTGTTTTTCGAATGTTAAGAGCGAAACTATTTTTGCGTGAATGATCAGGTGGGACACAGAGCCTATTTGAATTTGAAGACCATAAGACCAAACATGGTACTGTTAGGTCCATTGTTCCTGAACAAGAGCATGGTATGGTCAGACTTTGAAGCTGCAGTTCTCAACGGTCACAGAAATAGACAGGGACAGATTAGGCTGAGGAAGGAGAAGCAATCTATTTTCACTTATCCTGCTCCTGATTGTATGTGTAAATCATAACATATGCACGGTTCGCTTTTCCTGAGAAAAGTGGTCAGTCTAGTTTGTTATGTCATTCCTACCCTTCGTTCCAACACCTTGCTTTCTGCAACTTGTATATTCATTCAACTGCAGCCTGTAGGTTCATCCTGTATTCATGGTTGATAGTTCTTCTATCTCGTCAGTCAGATCGTATTGCCTCTAGCACCTGCAGGAGACTCACAAGTCGCAACCCTCTGGTGCATCACCATTCACCAACCCATTGGGCAACATGCTCTAATGCTAAAAGAGCCAACAAGTGTTCCTACAAAACAACTTAAGTTGGTTAAGAAAAAATTATACATGGAAGATATCACAAAGAAATCATTCCTACTTACATTATTGACGGACTTCCAAGTGCAATAAGAGCCACCCCGCCTCAACATTATACTATACTAGTGTCGTATCCGGCCCGTTCGCCGGTTTGTGGTCATTTGGGTATTTTTTAGTTAAACGTAGGTGGTTCGATTTTTAGTATTGTTCACTGGTGGTACAAAAGAGTACTTTGATAATTTATGTTTTTTAATGCCCGTTAACTTTATAATTTTATTGAATTTGTATATCATTTTATACTTAACTATAAGAAATTTAAGTTAGACAACGAATGAAATGAAAAACTATCTGGAATTATATTCATGCCTTGAGATATTAAACATCACTTAATGAAAAAATATCAACATTAATCTCTATCTTCGTTATATGTGAATAATTAGCTTGCAAATGAAGCTTTGAAAATTTTATTACTATTTTAATTTAAATATTGTTGATTGTCATCTATTGAATTAAAAAGAAAATATTGTACATAATATTACTATAGATGTATTACATTTAAATATTTTAAAGATACAAAATTCGAGGAGAAAAAAATTTGATATGGAAATAGATTATTTGGACAATTATGTAAAGCAAATCCAAAAATATTAGTATAGATGTATTAAATTTATATTTTCGAAAGAGACAAAAATGAAAAACATTAACAAAAGAATATTTTGACTTGAAATGGCCTTTGTAAGTTATTCAATCATTTGAACTTTAGTTATCATAATTCAAACTTAACCTTTAACAATATGCTCATATTTTTAAATATTTTATTGACTATATCCTATATTTTCAAAAGCGGAGTGGTCGTCGGATGGAAAATTTCAATGACTCATGATTAATGGTTTATCATTATACAACTATTTCCATTGGACCATAATTTACGTTTAATAATTTTCTAATAAAACCTATCTCGACTTTAAGCAATTACATAGAGTACAAAAAAATTGTTTGATCTAATTCGACACAAATATCGAGTCGATACGATATGGATGGAATTATTGTTTAACCTATGACTAAACATGCGATCTTACCTTTCAAAATTTAATGTAAAAATTAGACATGCTAATTAGAAAATTAAAAGAATTAAAAACAACATAAATTGATTGTATTTTGCCAAGATTTCCCGTTTTTCTTCCTCTTCATGTTTGCCGAAATCACTGTGAGATTAAGATTCTAAACCTTTTGAAGTTTTATGCTTGGTTTATCTGTTTAACGTAAAATCCTAATGCGAAAAAGCCAATTCAGAAGGAAGCTCTTCCCAAATAATAATATCCACACCACAACGATATATCATCTTTATCATCTCAAAATCAAATTCGCAAGCATTATCTCATTTAGGAGTTAAACAACTTTAGATAGCCTCTGTTTTTTCCTTAACCACACAAAATAAATCTACACATAGCAAAATTCAAATAATTATTATGTAGCATTTACCTTAAAACAAATCTTCTTTTCCCTTAATCATAAATCTACACAGAGCAAAGTCCAAATCATTATTATAATAGCATTTACCTTAAAACAAATATTATGTAGCATTTACCTTAAAACAAATCTTCTTTTCCCTTAATCATAAATCTACACAGAGCAAAGTCCAAATCATTATTATAATAGCATTTACCTTAAAACAAATATGCTTTTCCCTTAATTCTAATCGCATTTACTAAAAAGAAAACCAAAAGTCCAATAATAATGACTGACCCTTGAGTGTTTGAAAAATTGTCAAAGTTGCCCTTCCACCAAATAAGGAGAACCAATCAAAGTGCAAGGTGGCAACAATGACATAGAGTGAAGTGCATAATATATTGTGTAGATGTAGATGTAGATGTAGATGTAGAAGCTTCCTTGGCAGCTAGAATTGTGCGAAGAAGAATGACAGTCAAAGTGATACCCCGACTATGAAATGGCATGGTTCATTGAAGAACTCTCTCGGTATTGAGTGGTAATTAACTTGCAAACGGTTTCTCTGCTCACTCTTGATGCGTGATAGTGGATCTCACGTATCGTGAAACTCGGACTCTTCTACGAAAACTAATGAAACGCGATAAAGATAGATAAATTACTCTAATTTACTTTACTCTTATTCATTGCATGACGAAACCCAAAGAACAACGTACATATTTATAGGACTACTCTCATACCCTTTCCCTCTCAAACAAGGTAAACTATCCTAACCCAACAAGTAAATAATAACTTTCTTAACAAGACACAATAAACTAATACGAACTAGCACGGGGCAAACTCAAAGTCCTAGTTACATAATGAATACAATCAAATATATAGAGTACATAGAAACTTTCAGAAGCACATTTTAGCAAAAACACCAAATGGAGTACATAGAAACTAGAGATTTATGTGGATAGTGTCGTTAGCACTAAAATGCCAGAGTTTAGCATTCACTTGCCTGTTTGTACCAATTCCATTGAGAGCACACTCTTTCACTTGTCAGCAGAATTTGGGAAAAAATCCAAAACTACCACTGTTTTGAAAAAAATTACAAAAATACCATCCTTTCTAACGAAATTTCAAATTTACCACCATCCCCCATAATTTGAGGCGCTGTTTGAATGAGAACCGCGCGGGCAACGTGCGATTTGCCATTGGGCAGCTGCCAAACCGCGCTTCCACGTGACGATCCATGCAACCGCACGATGGGCAGGCGATCTGACGGGTATTTACTATGATGATTATCAAGCGGTACGTACTCATTTTACCCAAGTTTTCTTGTTGTTATAATGGTTTATTTAATTTATATACTAACTGATTTATGTTGTTGTTATGCTATCGTAGGTTGGGCCGGATGTTGATATATACAATCAACGATATTATGTTGATCAAGGACCGATTGATCCGACTATTTTATACGATCAATCAACGTAATATACTAACCGATTGATCCGGCTATTTTTTTATACGATCCGACTATTTTGGAGACTGATCATCTGAAGATTCTTACTGCAGTCTCTCTCTTCTCTATGGAGTAACTTCCCTTCACTTTGGTTTTGAGGAACCCTAGCCATGTTTGTTTGATTGGATGATTGTATGAGTACTCTTTTACTTGATAATCTTGAGTTCATATTCAATCTATGCATGTTTTCATGATTCAATTCTGCTTTAGTCGAGATTATTGATTCTGCTTTGATCCTATGAGAGCGAATACCTGATTAGGTCAATAGAGCACCATAGATTGATAGTATTGGATCGATTGCTTTAGTCGAGGGTTGATTCAATACTTTGTATCGATTGAGAACCTCATTCGATAGAGGGAGTCTAGTTCAAACGCCTTGATCGGTTGTTCTAGAGAAAGATACGTCCCTCTAAGCAATCGACTCAAGAGGGCCTTGATCCTTTAGTCGAGATTCAAGGTCTAGTCAGGGATTCTCCGCATTGTGAATGAAAGTGAAACAAGTTAGAAATCATCAATCATTAATCTGGCTAGTGGCTAGGGGGAATCATACCTAAGTGAGTTCCCAATCTGTAATTAGATTAACTTTAACTATAGTTTGTTAGAGTAGTTTTAGTTCTTCCATCTTAATCTGGTTTGCTAGATAATGAACTGAAGCTGAGTAATAGTAACTCTAGAGACCCGTGGATTCGATATTTATTACTTGAGCCACTATACTGCAGTCCCTTTCATTGGTTACACTTGGCCATTGTTAGAAGTTGTGTCATAGCGAGTCAATAGCTCACCACAAAAGAAGTTGAAACAGAAACAGATCAAGGTCTCGACACCCAACCCACAGCAACCTGGACAGAGTGCTAGCAAGAATGACTCTCACATTCTTGCTGGACACGCCAAGCCAGGAAAGGAGAAGGGACCAACCAAAGAAGCTAGCTCAAGCCACCAGGCAAAGATGAGAACGCCATCCTCTACAACTTCAGGAAAAATCCCAGGGAAGGCTGAAAAGGCCATAACAGAGAAAGGAAACATCAAAGGAAGGAAGATTGAATTTGCCCCTAAACAGGCGAGTGGGAAGTCTGTGCTGGAAGATGCTCAGCACCCTAAGGCTATCTCCACGGATGAGGCTAAAGGGAGTAGTGAGACGGCCATGGCCGTCGATCTTTGTTGATCTTTGGACTCTGAGTCCTGCAGGGAAGCACTTAACCAATTATAGTCATGGTTAAAATCTTCTCACGGAATTGCAGGGTGCAAAGCACCACAAGTTTCTTCCAACTTTTATAATTTTTAAGGCTATTTACAAGCCTGACGTTATGTGCATCATAGAACCTAGAATCAGTGGGGAGGAAGCAGCTAAGGTTATCAAGAAGTTAGTCTTTGATTCTTCAGTTGTCTCTGAGGCAACTGGTTTTAGTGGTGGTATTTGGGTTCTTTGGAATGAGTGCGACATGAAGCTCGAAGGAGTGGATATTCACAAGCAATTCATCAATCTCAAATGCTACTTTGGCCAGAAGGAAAGGTTTCAAATGACTGTGGTGTATGGTAGCCCGAATGAACACGACATAGTGGAGCTTTGGGAGTCTATAAGAACCATTGAAAAGGCCACCATCATGCCTTGGATTCTGACTGGAGATTTCAACTCCATTACGAGAGCTAGTGAAAAACAAGGAGGAGCTGCTTTCAGCTTCGCCAAGGTCCGTGCCTTCTGTGACTGCATTGAGGACTGTGGATTGATTGATCTTGGGTTCTCTGGCCCGAGATTTACTTGCTTCACAAGAAACACTGGAATTAAGGAAAGGTTGGACATCAGCCTGTGTAACCTTGATTGGCACCACAGGTTCCCTTCCTCCACCACTTTCCATCTGCCAAAAATCAAATCTGACCACAGGCCAATCATGACCTGCACTTCTAACCAAACTGTCCATCAGAAATTGGCAAGAAGGTT